TATATATATATATATATATATATATATATATATATTTGATATGGATTTGACATCCGCTTAGACATTCAAGTGAATATCATGCAACTAGACATTGAAACTTTTCCCATCTTAGAGCACTACCAAAGCCTATTCCAGAAAGACACTTACTAGCCATGAGGAGGCTTCAATGGAAGAATAAAAAGATGTCCCAGGTATGAGGAAATTAAACAAGCCATATGTATCTGAAACATTAAGCATAAGATTGTCAAACAAGAGATGAATTTCTCATATTTTTAGCAAAAATTAAAAATAAAAACAGAGGAGGAAAAAAGAATGAAGTCTGACAAGCAAACCCCGATAAAATGCCACAAAGGTGTCCAAGTAGTGAGACATTTTGCATGAGAAGCTGGAACACTACCAATAAAAAGAATGCATACCTAAACATAATATGTCCAGTTATCACAAAAGGGAATTATCATGATAGAAATCAACAAATAAGTTCATCAAAAAAAACATACTCACCACTTGGCAGGCACATTAAACAATCCAAACACACTGCAGAATGAATAGAAAAAGTTACTAAATTAGTGAACAGTTACTGATTCAGGATATGTAACATAACACATCTATTGAATGTTTAATGTCCTTTCAGTAAAACCAGTGAAGAAAATCATTGCACGGTGAACTGGTTGACAAAGGGGTATTAATAAAACAGAATAAATGTGATTGGAAATAACGTTGCAAAATAATCATTAGCTGACTAGCTTCATTCCCAAAAACATGATTAAACAATATTATTACTAATTCAGTATCTTGGACAGCTACCAAAACATGGTTTCTGACAAACATTTTTTGTAAAGGCTGGTTTCTGCCAAACTATCTTGAAGAAAAAGGTGATTAACATATATTGCATTTTTCCTGACAGTCATGAATTCCCTGTACAGAAGTAATATTCATATAGCCAACCTCCTGGATTGAACTCCACTCAAGCTTGTTTCTATAACAATCATTGAAAATAGAACCCCTGAGAAGCCTATTGCACACTGATTCATGAGATCATCATATGTAACAAAAGGATTGTGTGCCACCAGCAGTGCTATGAGAAGATGGAATATGGCATTGCTTGTAGCCAACAAAATAGTGACATAAAGCAAGCGAACTGAGCCCATGATCCTCTCCAGCTCAGAGCCCAAGGGAACTAAAGCCATCATGTTGAAGAGAACATGAAGCAGTGAACCATGGAAAATAATGGAGGTATAAATCCTGTAAACTGCATGGAGAAAAAATTATTCTGAGCAAAGCAACCAGACAGTCACAACACAGAAGCAACAGCTACAAGGAATGCAAGACAACAAAATGAGCTTCAACAATATTAAGAAAAGATAGTTCTCGGATATAGCAAGCAGCTTTCAAGCCAAATTATTAACCCCCTGCTAGAATCCAATTGAACACATTAATGGGTTTAGGGCATGGTTGGATAAGTTTTTTCCAAAAGTACTTCTAGGAGAAAAAAAAAATTGGAAGGAGAATTGAAATAAACTTTTTCATAAGTTAAAACTAATTTGTACATAAGTTAAAAATAAGATCTTGTAGAAGCTAATAATAGAGCTTCTAAAAATTAGTTAAATTAGTTTATGTTTAAACTAATTTTGTCTTATGGAGAAACTTATCTCATTTTTCTTCCTATTTTTCCTCTCTTAGAATTGTTTCTGAAGAAGTTTATCTAAAAAGACCTTAGTTTTGTGCACTAAAATGTTTGTACAAGCTAGTCCAAACAATCAACTACATTGATTCAACAATATAATATGACTTTAAGAGAAAGTTATACCTTGAAACCGCGATACAACTGCGGACGGCAAGAAGCAAACCTCGGCGAAGGAATCGTATCCAACCAAAAGACAAACCAAGTAAATGATTCCACAGACAACCACCACTGCAGAAGTGAGAAATGGAATGCTTTCCCACCATTGATTCATCCTAGTAGGCAACCCTGCCTGGTTCAATCAAGCCATCAAGGACAATTAATCAGAATAACATCTCTATCTAACCATTCTACAACAACAGTTAACAGAATCCCAAATAGAAACACAGCAAACTAAAAATTGAGCAGTAAACTGGTAAAGGTAATGCTGCAATTTGTTTCCTTTTATTTGGCATGCACGAATCACACGCAACAGAACCAAAAGTGAAGCAATGACCAAAATTAAACAAAACACTGCGAGATCTCGAACCAGAAACGAAGATTTTCAGCACTGCTACTACACGCTTAGTGTTGAGTGAAGTGCGTTGGCACTAACGCCTCAAAATTGTGACGGAAACAAAAGGAGGATCGAAGAAAATTAGGGAAATGGATCGTAGGTTACCTCGGAAACGATGTTTGGTCTCATATTTCTGGTTCTTCGCATGCAACCAAGTTAACTTGGCAGCTTTGGCTCACTTGCTTGAAAAATGATAACAATCAGGAATTGGGATTTGGATTGGAATAACCGGTTATTGAATATTGATTCAGTTTAGGAATTGTGACCCACACTTGACTCGCGAAAAACGTTGCGCCAACTTCACTTTGTTGGGATGCGGGTTCGGATTTCACCGTCTCACCAAATCGCCAAGGTTTCCAATGCGTTTCACCATCGTTTTTTCCGTTAATTATATACAATTATCATTTCATTTTAGATTTTACTTTTAGATACACAATAGCAAGTGCTGCATTCATAATAATTGTCAATTAAAATTACTGTAATTATTCAAATTATATTAACCAAAATCTTTGGATAAACTTTATTAACTAACAGTTTTATTATTTCAAGAAACCTTTTCGTTTAAGAAACTAAGTTATTTGTAATTTTACGTTTTCATTCGATCAAAAATCGTTATTATAAAAGTCAATTGCTTTACCGTATATCATGCTTTTTTTTCGTATATAATGTCAATGTAAAATACAATATAACGATTTTATATTAAAAATGTATGATTATTATATTATTTTTTAGAGTTTTTTTATATACGCCAATTTGAAGTTATTAGAATATTTTTTATGTATACAACAAACTCTCCCTAATTCTAAATATTAAACAAATAATTTTTATAAAAATAATATTGTTCCTGTGTTAGGATACACACTTCAATTATCTTGGTCGTCTCGGGTCAGGTATAAGGTTACGGTCTTCTCGTTCTTGTCCGGGTAGTCCGAAGCGAGGTTGGGGGTGCCTGCAAAGACACTCCGACGCTCAAGTTAGTTCTCGGCGTAATAAATGTAGTAGTTGAAAGATTAATTACATACCTCGTTGGGGCTCTATTTATAGACGCTCATATTGGGCCGTGATTAAGGATTGGGCCCGGAAAATTAGGGGGTTAATCCAATGTATTACGCTAATTAAACTATCCGTAATCGGCCTGGCAGAGGCGTAGAGATTGACCGACCGACCCGACACGTTTCACTCGCTTATAAGTGGTCAGTGGACTAGGGTGATCGGCGTAACCATTAAGGGTTCGGGTATTCGGTCTAATTATTCGCGGGTTCGGGTACTCGGCCTAATCCCTCGCGGGCTCGGGTATTCGGCCTAGTCGGCCACCATACGGTATACAACCCCCACAGCGTCAAGGATAGGAAAGACGAAGACGGTATAAGATGCGTAGCGCTTTATTTGACGTCTTAACCGTGTGAAATGATGGCAAGATCTCAATGGGAAAGCGTGCCAAGGTCTGACATGGAAGATGTCTGAACTGAGGTTTCGGATGCAAGGAGCTTCGTCAATGCCTCAAGTAACTGGAAATTATGTCGCGCCAAGGGGGAGTAAGGTCTAGTTCTTAATAGACGATGTCTAGAATTCGAGCTAGACCTCGTGGAATCGCGCCGAGACCGAGAGCTCGGACGTAACAAACTGCACCGAGACCTCGAGTAACTGGGATTCGCGCCGAGGTCTCGGGTGGTGTCTAGGGTATTGCCTAGGACGTGAAATCGTGGCGAAACCGTGTGTTGCACGGCTGAGTCGTGACCTGCAAAGAGAAGGTGAGCCGAGGCCTCGTGTGAGTCGATGCCTGGATCGAGAGCTCGGACGTGAGAGATTGCGCCGAGACCGAGAGCTCGAGCGTAAGAAGCTGCACCGAGACCACGAGTAACTGGAATTTGTACCGAGGCCTTGGGTGAGGCAATGCCCGGACCGAGAGCTCAGGTGTAAGAAGATGCACCGGGACCACGAGTAACTGGAATTTGTACCGAGGCCTTGGGTGGGGCGATGCCCGGACCGAGAGCTCCGGTGTAAGAAGCTGCACCGAGACCACGAGTAACTGGAATTTGTACCGAGGCCTTGGGTGGGGCGATGCCCGGACCGAGAGCTCAGGTGTAAGAAGCTGCACCGAGACCTATACTGGCGTAGCTTTCCACATTGGCCCTGGCGGTTACAGGCCCAACGGTTATTAAATCTGGACCGTTGGATGCTTTCGATCGAGCGGTTAGGGTTTGAGGACGCCTGTTTACTTTCCCCGTTTTACCTCGCCTATAAATAGAGGGGGGGAATTGTGGAAATTCACTCGCTGTAAATTTTCCGAGCTCTCTCGAATTCAAGCGTCGACCGAAACGACCGAGTAAAGGTAAATTTTGTATTCGTTAATTAATAATAATAAATGGATAGGGACTATTCGTCGGGAAGGAGTTGCTCGTCGTCGAGCGAGTCGGACGCCTCGTCAGGTATGGAGGGATCGGACTCGAGTGAGGTACCTAGGTTGCCCTTACTGCAATGTGAAGTGGTGTTTCCGTTCGATCGCCCCAAGGAAGATGACAGCGGGGATGAAGTGGTGGAGGTATCGCCTCCGGCGACTATGGCCGTGGCTTTGGCTCGCGCTACTGAGGTTGACTGTAGGGGTTTGGCGCAAGCCGAGCAACCGAGGCCCCACACTGTAATCGTTCCTGCCAAAGGCCATGGGGGTGGGCTAGAAGCGGTTGCGGATAACCGAGGCAAGGCCATCGCCGGTCCGACTGTCCGGTCAAAGCCAAAAGTCGACTATGGTAGCGTGGAAATGCCAAGATATGAGTGGGTGGACGGAGAAGTCGGTATATACTTGTCGAAGTTTTCCGACCAAGGTCTGTTAGATACGTTCATCTCTTCTGAGAAATGCTTCGGTGGTGGGGGCGAGGAGTTTCCGCTGCTGGCCGAGGCGTGCGAAGACGATGGGCCGAACATCGACTTTGTGTTTTTGGAGGCGAGTCCCGGTAAAGACGACTACTTCTACGCGTATGTTTGTTGGTTCGAGGACCTCAGCATAGAGCTGCCCTTTGACGATTTTCAGATGGGGGTTCTCCGGACACTAAATGTGGCGCCGACCCAATTGCACCCTAATGCTTGGGCGACCATGCAAGCCTTTCGGAATTTGTGCCTATGTCTCGGCCTCACGCCTCAGCCGCTCGCCTTCCTCTATTATTACACTTGCCGCCCGAGCAAACCGGTAAAGTGGGTTTCCTTAGCTCGGGTGCCAAAACGTGGATTCCTTCGGGCTTTCACCTCTTCTTACAAGGGATTTAAAAGTGGCTTTTTTAAGGTCCGATGGGGGTCGGAGATGCGAGATTGCTTTTACGACCGAGAGAACAACCCGCTATTTCCCTTCTACTGGACGAGGCGTCCGACACGTTTTGAGGCGTTCCCTGCCTCGAAACTCCCCGCCGAGGACAAGGAGATTGTGGATTTGCTAGACCAGTTGCCGAAAGAGCTTCCTGTCCGAGAACTATTGGAAATTTTTGAGACGTCTCATTTTGAGATGATCTTGTTAGGTATGTGTACTAGGGTTTGGTTGTTTAATCAATTTTTAAATTGATGTTAAACTTTGCTTTGCTGCAGGATTGATGGCCGGAGGCAAGTTGAATGTAACTGCGATGCTCGCCAAGAGGGCGAAGGAGGCTAAAGAGAGTGGAAAGGTGCCGTCGGCGAGGTCGGCCCTCAGGGTTCAGCGGGATAAACCCACGCAAGTCCTTATTCCCTTGGCCGACCCCAAGAAAAGGGGGAGTACGTCTCGGGTCCGGGCTGCTGAGCAAGACATCGAGTCGGAGCGTCCGAGCTCTTCTTCCAAACGGCCGAAACAACTGTCGTTGGAACAGTCGGGTTGTGGGGGCCTTCGCCGTTCCTGCTGTGGTGGCCGGGTCAAACTTCTTGGCCTCGGATGTGCAAGTGGAGAACCTCGTCAATCTGGATATAACAACTGGTCGGGGACGTCAGTACCTGGAGGGCATGTCTGCGGAAGCCGAGTACAAGCTCTTTTGTGAGCTCGACGCTCGGACTTCCCTTGTGGCGAAGCACGTTATGATGAGGTCGGCTGTCTCGGCTGAGAGGCTTCAGGCCCGGCTGAAAGACGCTGAGACGACCATGAAAGAGGCTTTGAGTGCTAACGCTAAGGCTACGGAGTCAGCCGAAGAGTTGAAGAAAGCGGTCGACGCCCACCGGAGGGAAGCCGACGACTTAAAGCTGACCGTGCAGCGGATGAAAGTCGACGCCGTTGCTGCTGCGGCGGAGATTGCTCGCCTCAAAGAGGCTGCTGCTAAGTTCGAGGCCGAGGCCACCGAACAAATCCTCTCTCAGCCTGATGTCGGCTTCCAGCATGCAGTCCGGCAAGCGTACCATTTTTGTGAGGTTTATTTCCTGGTTTCCACTACTACAAAAGCACTGTTCTACATCGGTTCTGGAAGATAATCTACATCGGTTATAAAACCGATGTAGAATAGAGCGATGTAGATTTGCGTTTAAATCTACATCGGTTATCAAAAAACCGATGTAGATTTGCGTTCAAATCTACATCGGTTGTAAACAAAACCGATGTAGATTTGAACGTAAATCTACATCGGTTCTACCTTAAACCGATGTAAATTGCATTTAAAAAAAAAAATCAATTATTTTTTTAGATTCTTTCTGAGTTACCTGTATAAACATATTTCATTCATAGTATAATTTCAAAATCTAATTGTTGAGTTCCAATTCCCTCAATTAGAGGTTATCAGATACAATAACTACTCTAATAAAGCTATAACTTTGAATTCCATTTTATTCCTAAATAACTGTATTGAATAAGAGAAATCTTAAATAATTGTATTGAATGAGAGAAATCTTAAAAATAGGAAAGTCAACATATTGAGCTAAAACTAAACAGGGGCAATCTCATCTCATCAAGGAAATCATGTGATTTTTCTCAAATTTTTATAAACACCATTGATGTGTCAAAATTAGTTCCCATGAAACAGGATGTTTTCAAAAATCGGTCCAGATTCATACTCTTCAAAAATCTTAAAAATAGGGTGCACATTTGTTCTATAATAATTAGGAGATTTGTTCCGTAATTAGGACAGATTTGGATGATTTGATTTGTACAGTTTTTTATTTCCTTATTTCCTTAATTAGGAGACTAGTAGTATATATAAATGTATTTTGAGGAATTTTTAATTATAGCTGATTATTACAGTTTTTATTTCCTTAATTATAGCTAATTTGTACAGTTTTTTATTTCCTTATTTCCTTAATTAGGAAACTTCTAAATAAATCTCTAGTT